CTCAAAGAGAAACCAGTGGATTCTAAGAAGATTGTTTTCCAGCACACAGTGCTTTCCCTGGAGGGGCGACACAGCAAACAGCCTGCCCGAGTGGCTCACAGAAGGAAGGGGCAGGAGAAATTGGTCTGCCTGGCTCCCTCCCATCTCCTGCTTCACATCGTTCACACAGGGTTTATACCTCACGGAGGTCTGATTCCTTCACATGTTCAGTTCATGTCATTCCATCCTTCATTGACCACTCAGATGCCATGTTCCCTAGTACGACTGTTCACCCAACTCCAAAGAAGAAGAGCACACAGCAGGAATAGAGCTCAGCCTGAGGCTGCAAATTAGACTCCATCCAGTGGATTCATGAAGCCCAGTTACGGTGCTGAACCAAGGGGCAGGGGTAACAGTCTGATCGGGGAGGCAGGTGAAATATTGGAAAAATGAAGCAAAAACTCCTTACTGTACCATGTCTCATGCTTTCCAAAACATCTGGCTGCTATACATTATGAAACATCTGTTCTATTTATCTAGCTATCTATGCATCTATCCATTTATTTATGCATTTATTCTGAGAGAATTAAGATACCTTCAGTCCTTCCCAAAGAGGAAAATCATAAAGCCAATCAGATACAGAACTTTCTTCAATATGTTAGCTAGTGGTCATGTCCTAGAGGCCTGAGGTGACAAGATGCTCCAAAGAGCTACAGAGTCTGCTGTGTATCTGTAGGAATAAGTGGGTCTAGGAATCAAGGTGTGGTTTAAGGGTCTAGAATCCAGTGACCCAAGGCTCTGTGAACACTGGCTAGGGGACGGCACCCAAGCTCTATGAACCTCACATCATTCATCATTGTATAAAATGGGGTTACAAGACCTAACTGGCCATGTGGCAGGGTTCCCACCGTCCACAGAAATAAAAGTATCTGAATACTTAAAAGCATTATAATATGTAAGAGACGAACTTGATTAAGTCAGCTTTGCTGGATTCCCCTCTCACGGACTCCCAGATGCCTCTTTGTCTAAGAGCCACCCATGACTTGTTCTATGAGCGCATTGCTCGGAATAAATGGGATTAACGCGATGTTATTGCTTATGTTCATAAATATCCATACTATGGAGGCCATACTACTTTGACGGGACAGGGGACTCACTCTCCTGACAAGGGAAGTCATTTTAGCCATCAACGTTCTGGATATAGGTAGAGTCCTCAAATAGGAAACTGGCTTTGAGATGCCAAGCTATTTATGGACCACAGGCAGGGAAACTGGGAAACACTGAGGCATTTAAATGTCCAGGAATGTGTTCCCTTGTCCTGGGGAACTAGGTTCCGCCATGTGGAAGATGACCAGGACCTGTGAAGTAGGGGTAGATCCAGACAGAAGACGACATGCTGGAGATGAAAGTAAAGGTGCGTATGCTCACAGCTCCTTGGCTTTTACTTTCTATAGTTACCATCCCTTTCGGTGCTGCCCTAAGAAAAACAAAGGGTTCGGTTACAATAACTGGTCCACAAGAACAGAAGACAAGCTGTGATAAAACAGACAAATTATAGAGATACACACATCTTCCCTGCTTCTGTTACTTCCAGGCTGATCTCTTAAAGCTGGGGTAAGCTTATTCTGTAAGGGGTTAAGTAGCCCTCAGTGTGGTATCTGGACGATAATCAGAATCAGGAGCCCTCTGAAAGTTCTTTCTTTTCCCTCTGAATAGAAAGACATCCCTCATGGCATCAACCTTAGCCTTTTACAAGAATTTATCTCATAAATGCAGTAAAGATATTTGTTTTGGGCCCTGGCCATTGACTAAAACATAATTACTTCACCGGATAAACCATTGTGTATTTGCCAGAAAGTCCTATAAAGGATGGCAGTCAAAGAGCCATGAAAGATGCTTCGTATTTTTTTCCTCTACATATAGCAGAGTTGGAAAGATATCTGTGGATGGATGCCTGAAAGCTATGTGAGGTTTGGTCAGGGCAGTCTGATGTCAAATTGGGAAATCATGATTCCACTTCACTAGGCACTTACATTTTTGAAATCCACAGAACACTTGTGTAATCTCACCCAAAGCCCACCACAGCATGCCGTGACTCCCATTTTTCCAGAGGAGCGAACCAAAGCTAAGGCTGACTTGTCGAAGTCATACAGCTCTTGCAGATAGAGCCAGACAAGAGCTCAATCAAGCCTTCTGATTCGGGAGCATACAATGTTCTCATTTGTAACTGCTCTTTCTGCAGTAGTGACCAGAAGGAGTAGGAGAGAGAAGACCAAAATCTGGGCAGCCACTTAATATAAGTCTTTCCCTAATGTTCCCTTAGAGATTAGCAAGGGGTACATGTTCCAAGCAATCTTTCCCCACTGAGTAGAAACTGTGACGCATATGAAAGAAAAGAGAGCAGCACAAAAGACCTAAAACAGAAATCCATGCACTGACCTTGAATCCAGAACCCCACCACACGTGGTTGAAACCCTTGCCTAGAGCAGATTAGAGATACCAGGTCATCGCATTCCCCTGTTTCTAGATCCCCATACCTAAAGCAGGGAGTGAGGAGATCTGGGAAATGGGCTGCTTCCAGATTCCTTTTTCAATGGGAAGAACACTGTACAAGTCTGTTTTGGATGAGCCAGGAGAGATCAAGGTGGGCAACTGAGAAAGGGACTGTGTTATTGTTCAGCCATAGCAAGTTCGGCTATTGACTGCCATCTGTAGGGACCCTGCTACAACCCAAGCCGTGCTGATGTGTTGACCTAGTGTGTGCCCACAAAGTTTTTCTGACACCTGGCGAGGATATGGGAAGCCTACCAGAGGAACAGGAGTCTGTTTGTGGATTAGGTTCGAGCCAGTGCCTGGCCACGCACTGTTCACAGAAAAGACCTAGATGCTAAGACTCTTTGAGGGCCCTTGGCTCTGGCTCAAAACCGAGCAGCAAAGGATGCAAACATCTGATGAGTAGTTGGAATAGAAAAACAACATTTGTCAGATCCAGCACCCAAAGAATCTCAGAACGACGTGCTGTGAACCAGATAGTTTCTAAACAGGTGCCGGCTCTCTCAGGGACTAGAGTCAATGACACCATGTCCCCCTTCCAAGTCCCTCACCTGTCTCTGGGAAGTGAATTCACCAAGTACATCAGTCTTGTTGAGTTGGGATTAACAAACTTGTGTTTTTATTTTAATTTCGTTTTAAAGAAAATCATACTTGAAACCTAGCATCAACAGTGTAGAAGGTAATAAATAACAACAGCCAGCAGCTTGCTTTTCAGCTGAAGAATGAGCGGCTCATAGGTGTGAGACTATTCATACAAGGTCTAGACCAGCGATTTTAAACCTTTTCATCTCCTGGGACATAAACTAATTACTAACATTCTGGGGCACACCAAACATATATATGTTTTGCTGATCTGACAAAAAAAATAGGTATAATTTTGATTCAATCACACTGGATGGCTATTGTGTTGGCTGTTGTCATTTCTCATTTGACAATCTAAGGGATAAGAGGTCTGTGCCCCTGACTAAAGAGTCAGGTATCGCATGTTTTGAAAATTCTTGCTGCATACCGCCGTGCTCTGGCACCCGGGTTGAAAATCCCTGGTTCAGACCATTAGTGGTAGAGATAATATCCAGTTACTTGTACAGGGTGTTTCTATGCACCAGGCGCCACAAAGCACTTCATAGGATGTTCTCTTAAACATTCATCACAATCCATTCACGTCTACAAATAAAGAATAGGAGCACCAGAGAAATAATTTGTCTAAATGCCAGTGAGTGGCAGTGATGGGTTTCAATCCCAAGACATGATCTGAGCCAGGCATCCTTGATTAAGTTTATGTTGTAAGTTAGAATTTCAGAGCATTCAATTTGCTGGCTCCTTTTCAAGGCAACAGAGCTGGAGAGCTGTGGACCCATAAGTGACTGGTCATGAAGTAGAAGTAATAATTAAAAGAGAGAGAGAGAGAGAGAGACAGCCCTGGCCAGTTTGGCTCAGCGGTTAGAGCGTCGGCCTGCGGTCCGGAGAGACCCGGGTTCAGTTCCTGCTAAGGGCACGTGCTTAGGTTGCAGTTTGTCCCCGGCCCTGGATGGTCGTGCGGGTGGCAGCCACTCGATGTGTCCCTTCACGTCGATGTTTCTCTCTCTCTCTCCCTTCCTCTCTCTCCCTCCCACTCTATCTGTACAAAAAATGGAAAAATATCCTCGGGTGAGGATAAAAAAAAAAAAAGAGAGAGAGAGAGACAGAGAAAAATCTCTCTCTCTCTCCCCCTCCCTTTCTAGGCATCCTAAGCTAGCTGGCCTGAATAATTATTACGTTAAAACAAAACAACAACAACAACAAAAAATAGGCATATTCCAGGTACTAGTATTACTTTTTTCAACCTGCTTTGATATTTTTCCTCACTTCATTTCATTGGAAGCTTTCTACTATTCATGTGAACCAAGATTAGAGTATCTTCCACATTAGCATTCCCTTATTTTAGCTCCTGGCTCATTCTTGGAAAGCACAGCCTATTTGTATAGCTCCTCCACTAAATAAACCTCCATGCATTTCCCTTTCCTCTGATCCAGTGCTCCTCTCCCAGGCTTGTTTAGGTCGCTTCATTATGGGCACTCACCCTCCTTCTCACCCTGGTCTTGCACTGGCCTGTGACCAGGAGAAGAGAACCAGCCTCTCCGAACCTTACCTTTCGAACTTACACATCTCACCTTCTGGTCTCTGAGTCTGTGCTTATTTGGTTCTTTCTCAAGACAGTAAGGTCTAGTTCTTTCCCTACTTCCTCTTCCATCATCCCTTCCAGGGAAAACTCCACACATCTATCAAACTGCAGCCCAAGTACCATCTTCCGCAGGCAGTATTTCCTGTCTCATGTTCCCAAGATAGGATTTGCTTTCTTCCCTCTGTGAATTCCCATAACACTTTATTTTCCCCCTGATTAGTTACCGCAACTCCAGTTCTCCAAGAAGTAGACTCTGAAGATTAGCATCAAGGAATTTTTTTTCCCATAATTTAGATTTCACTGGTTGAGAAATATGGAACGCTTCATTAATTTGCACATCATCCTTTGCATGGAGGCCATGTTAATCTTCCCTGTATCCTTCCAATTTTATTATATGTACTGCTGCAGCAAGCCCTGTGAGAAAGAATTTTATTGGGGAGTTCTCTGGGGATCAACAGATCTGGGGGAGTGAAGGAAGTGGGATTGTGCAAAGGGAAAGGGGCTTCCAGGCTCTCTCTACAAGGGCCATTGCCAACCACACAGGGCACTCTGCAGCTGTGATGGCCCTTCGAAATTGTTCTGAATTATTCCAAGAGGACCAGGGCTTTTACATTTCTCCCTCTACCAGCCATTGGCCAAGAGGACCTAGGGCAAGGACCAACACCCCTGGAAGGTAACGAGGATTTAGCTGTGAACTGTCAGCTGTCAGCACTCCAGGGGGAATGAGTCCTTCTCCCTGGAAAGGATGGAAGATAGGGTAGAAACGTGAACTGCACACCACGGTCTCCACTACATCAACATCTAAGGAATCCCGCATCTTCTGCTTTGTTGATAATGTTTTGACCTCCTGGAAGCTAGAAATTGTGTCCTAAAAATTTCATGAACTCCTTGCAGCTGTGACTATAGTCCATAGAGATGCTGGGTAAATAATTTGCTGAGATGAATTTATTTCACAGAACTTCCACCCCAAAGATATTAATGAGGTTCATCAGACACAGGTGATCTCTACTTTACAGAGGAGACAACTGAGGCAAGAGTGATCATTGATATTGGTCAATGGCACAATTAATTTAAAAGTCCTCCCCTCCCCCGACCCAATAACAAACCTAGGTCTCAGGATTCTCAGGCTAATTGTCTATTTTTTTTTCTTCAAATACTCAATTAACCAAATACAAATAGTAGCTCAGAAAGGGCTCCAGTCAGATCAAGAGTTAATAACCTCGCTCCCTAGATCTCTTCTGAAACATTCCTGCTTCTGGACCTCCCTGAGGTGCCTCAACTTGATAAGTTATTAGACTTCCTTTTGGCCCATATTCACATGAAAAGAGCCAGAACTTGCAACTGAGATTTAAAACAACTTTGGCCTATTGCCCAGGGCTCATACTGTGAAGAGAGCAGAAACTATCCTCGAAGAATCTTAAAAAAAAATAATAATAATAACCCACTACGAAGGAGATGACCTGAAGTATCATTCCTGAAGTCATTTTTAGGAGACTTGTCACAGTCATAAAAGCAGGTAAAGTCACAAAGAAACCATTTTTTAAGGCAACAAGGTCTCCTTCCCTCTCCCAACTCTGTCATCTGCCACACACATTCCCATAACCACACTCTACCCGTCCCCACCCTAAATCATGGTGTTAGTAGAGAAAGTCACCTGTGATGTAGCCTATTGCCAGTCATGTTCATGAATGCTTGTGTTGAACAGACGAGGCCTGCCATTTCACAGGGTTTCTTGTTGAAGTGTCAGGCCTGAGAATCCCAGAAGATTGAGCCAGAAAGCAGGTCTATTTCTACTACCTGCAAAATCCAGTTCTGAGCATGGCCACCTTGGCTAGTTACCTCCTCTTCTCTGGGCTTATTGATAGTTGGACAGAAACATGCACCTAGAAATCACATATAAGCACTGGTATCCTGGCCTTATTGACTGAGTTGTTAGAGCAGTTCTATGATCCCCAAACTCTGGAAGAGCAATTACAGAAACCCAGGTCTGTCTTCAATAGGTTTCTATCTCTTCTCCAGTTACTGATACATTTTCATGTCAATTCATTTACACGCTGGCCTGGAGATGTTTCTCACAACTCACATAGACCATTTCATCCTTTATGTTTTCACATAGATTACACACACACACACGTCTTTCACATTTTCACACTTGCATGGTGTTTTTTATCCTATTTGTTATTACAATTTGCATTTACCACTTTTTTTGTATTAGTTTCAGTTATACAGCACAGCGGATAGACGTTCACATAGGTTACAAAGTGTTCTCTACGATAACTCAAGTGCCCACCTGGCACTATTGATAGTTATTACAGTATTATAGACTATATTTCCTATGCTTTACCTTGCATCCTATGCCTATTTTTTAACTACCAGTTAGTACTTCTTAATTCCATCACTTTGCATGGTTTTTAATGTTCTTTTTTCCATCCTCTGCAAAGGATTTTTTTTACTCTCCACTAGTTGAAATCCTACTAGTTGGAATCCTTCAAAGTCCAACGCAGATGCCCTCTCTTCCTTCAAGACTTCAGTGGTCCCTTTTGTAATTCATATGTGTTTCGCATCACTTTCTGCCATATATTATTATTTGTACTCATAGCTCATCCTGTCTCCATTACATAGTAAGCTGGACCAGGGCAGAAGCCAGATGTCAGCTTTCCTTCTGTTCCAACAATATCTGGCACAGTGCACTGGAGAAACTCAACGTTCAATGAAGACCTGAAAAAGCATTAGGCGTACCTTCTAATAGTCACTGAAGCATATGACAAAACAAATTTGAGGACTACCTCAAAATATTTGTATTACCTTTTATTGAAGTTTACCATATGTAAAATGTTCAACCATTAAGTACTGTATATAAGTTGAAATTTTGTAAAAAGTGATTAAAGGCATGTAACCATCTCCAAGATAAATATATAGAACATGATTTATACTTCAGAAATAACTACCTCCTCTTGACCCACAGTCAACTCCCAAAAATAATCACTATTCTGATTTCTATCACCTTAAATTTTTTCATCAGTTTATATGAATGGAATCATATGGTATGAACCCCTATGTGTTTATTTTTTATTTTGATTTTTTGCTATTATGATTATAGATTTATCCATTTGTTTATCTTGCAGCCTATGTTCCATTTTTATTGCTAAATATTCTAGTGTATGAATATGTAATAATTTATTAATATTCATGAACATTAGGGCTATTTCCAGTTTGGAGCAATTATGAGTCAAGTTGATATGAACACTTGTGTATGTGTCTATAACAAGAACTGAAATTGCCACATGGCTGTGTACGTGCATATTCGCCTTTAGTTGATATTACCATACAGTTTCCTAACACAGTTTTACCAGTCTGAACTACTATTAACATTGTATCAGGGATGCTGTTGTTATTGTTTTTCACTATCACTTGATACTATCAGATTTTTAAAATTTTAGTCATTCAGGTAGGGGTTTAGGGGTAGCTTCATATGGCTTTAGTTTGTATTTCCCTGATGATAAATAATGATAAAGAAAACACATTTTCTTACCCTTTTGGGCCATTTGAATAACCTTACTGGTGAAATGCTTACTTACATCCTTTGACATGTGTTTAAATTGTATTATTTTATTTGTCTTATTAATATATAAGATTTATTTATATATTCTGGATACAATCTCTTTGTCAGATCTATACAAATATCTTTCTTTATGGCTTGCTTTATAGCTCTCTTAATGGTGTTTTGTGATAAATAAAGTGATCCATTTTAATGAAATCTGGTGCATTAATCATTCACTTTATGGTTAGTGATTGTGTACATGTGCATATATGTGTTTCTTGTTTAAGAAATCTTTGCTAAATTCAAGATCATGAGGATTTTCCTCTATATTTTCTTTTAGAAGCTTTGTAACTACCTTTCCATTTTAGTACTAAGCTACATCTGGAATAAATTTGGGTGTATGGTATGAGAAAAGTGTCAAATTAATTGTTTCAAAGACTGTACAGTTAATCTTGAGGCATGTGTCTATAAGACTACCCTTTTCCCATTGCATTGCCACAGGACTCTAAATCAGTGAAAATTTATTCGTGGGCCTATTTTGGAAAGTTCTTTTATGTTTCATTTATCTGTCTATCTTTGTGCTAACATCATAGTTTATAATTACTGTTTTATTGTTGTTGTCTTATCTTTAGATCTGTTGGTGAATGTCTTTAAACATTGTACATCTTTTAGATTTTCTTTGATTCTTTTAATCCTTGGGATTTCTATGTATATTTTAGGATTCGGCATGCCAGTTTCCACAAAAGTAGTCATATGTGATTTATAATTAGAGTTTTATTGATTCTATAAAGCAGTTGGGAAAGAATTGACATCTTTAAAATATTAAATCTTCAAATATATGAACATGGTGTGTACTTCCATCTATTTGGATCTTTTAAAACTTTTTCTCTTTAGTAATGTTTTATAGTTTTCAGTGTAAAAATATGAAATGACTTTTACATTTAGTCTGAGGTATCTGGTATTTTTGGTATTAACATAAATGAAATGATTACTAAATTTCAATTTCCACTTGTTTGTATTAATAAGTAGAAAAAATTTAGCCAACAAGTCTTATATTCAGTTACTACATTTGACTTTTTATCTATTGAATTCCTTTGCATGTACACAATTAAGTTGCACATGAATAATGACAGTTCCCTTTCTTTTTAACTCACACTTTTCATTTATTCTTCTTGTTTTGTTGTATTTGTAATGATAAAAATATTAAACATCCATATCTCTTACCATACTTCAGAAGAATCTCTAATATTTAATAATTAAATAATATCTGGAGGGGTTTTTTTCATAGCCATATCTGATCAGACAATTAAGGCAATTTTCTTTTTGTTTATTTTTTTATCACAAGTTTATCATTGGTAATGAATTTTATTAGTTTTTTATGTATTTATTGAGATCTTCATATGGTTTTTAACGTTTATTCTATTAATTTATGATTTATTGTCAAGTATTAAACCAACATTTTATTCCTGAAATAAACTCAGGATCATTATAATATAGTATTATTTTTCTGTATTTCTGGATTTAATTTTCTAGTATGTTGTTTATATTTTCTTGCATGCATGTTCATGAGAGATGATGGCCCACAATTTCTTTTTCTTTGTTGCATGCTTTTTGTCAAGTTTTGTGTTAAGCTCATGTTGGGCTCATAAAACAAGTTTGCAAGTGTTTCTTATTATTCTGTTCTCTGAAAGATTTTGTTTAAGATTGGTGTTTTTCTTAATGTTTAGGAGAATTCACCAATAAAGATATTTCAATCTTAAATTTTATTTGTGGAAATGTTTTCAATTAAGAATTCACAATTTTTTTTATACTTTTTATTTCTTTTTATGTTAACTTAGCTTCAGGAAGTTAAGTTTTCCTAGATTGTCAA